CCCCAAAACCCCAAAACCCCAAAACCCCTAATAAACTATAAAATATTGAAAAATGAGAAACCAGGATAAATGTGTTGATGCTAACCTTCTTTCACCTTCTTTAAACATGGACTCAAGTCCCCTTTCTGTCAATTCAACAACACAAAAACACCAAAACTCCTACTTTCCATCTTCCAAACGATCCTTGATCTCTCACAAATAAAATCAACAACGACTTGATAGGCTTGCTCAGAGGGACAATAAAATCAAAACATAACCAAATTAAAGCAAAAATTAGACAAAAATCACCTAAAGCGCATCTTTATACTCAAAAAACAACACTGAGACCTCTCAAGAAGCTCAAAATAAAGCCCAGACAACTCTTTGGAAGAAAGAAGGAGGAATTATAAAAAGGAAAATTGAGGTTAAGCCTGGTAAGTAGTTTCGTTCATTCTTTCTAGCCAGATTAAGGAATGTTGCATTGACTAGCACTTTATATTATGGGTCGGATAATATCTGACTCAGAGAAATAACCAGTCCTTTTGCTGAAAGATCTCTAGTAGCCCCTTCAAAACCCAGAGAGCAGAGCATAATTCAGAAAAGAAAACCCCGGGGTATAAAGACATCATAAGGACTTATGAATTTTGACCCCAATGCGACAATGATTCCTCATTTTGAAGACGAGTTTTGGGTAAGCATGTAGTGCTCTGAGAGATTGTAAAAATTTATACTCATTAAATAATTATGCGTTGATATAGTAGCACCTTTACTTATAATTTCAAGAACTTAATAGCTTACATAAGAAGCTCCTCACCATGCTATTTTAGAATTCGGAAATCAAAGAATTAGAAAAGAGAAAAACCGGACTAAAAGGGATCATAAACTATTACTCCTCAAGCGCAAAGAGAAACCAAATTAGCCCCAATCTTTGCAGGGATCCAAAGTAAGTAACTCCCTCAACCCCCATTTAATAATATCTAACCCCTAAAGAATCAGTAAACTTCAGTTAGTAACCTCTTTCAAGCATTAAACCCCCTATTAACACCCAATACAGCCACCAACGCAGGTACAAATCCCCAAACTGCTAAATAGTCTCCCTACTAAAACCTGATCTCCCCGAAGAACTTCAGGCATTTCAGGGCAAATAAAGGTAAAATTTTCAAAAATCCAGTTCAAAACTACTAAACATTTTTATTGTTCAGGAAGAAATTCCAGTGAACAATTTATGAGGGAAATTCAGAGTTGTGTGGGACTAACAGTATAGGACTTAATCTGTTCAAAGTGAGGAAGGATATTTTAGGGGAAATAGTGCAGAGTGGAAGATTTGTGAGGAAGAAGAGGAGACAGGAAGAGAGGAATGGATGGAAGAAAGGAGCAATGAAGGTTTTAAGGCTTTGGGACCAGAAGTAGGGGTTAGATGGGATATGAGGTGATATAAGGTTGTGGAATTGAATTTTATGAGCTTGGAGTATAATTAGGTGTCAAGAAGTGTTTATTGGGTTTCAATATTTAGAGATATGAAGGGGTTTTGGGGTTTTGGGGTTTTGGGGTTTTGGGG